TTTTGGCTGTTGTTGTTGTTGTTGTTTGTTTGTTTGTTTGTTTGTTTGTTTGTGTGGCTTCTTGGGCCTTGTGGTTTCCTTTTTTTGAGGGGTGGACCCTCAGTCAGGGTAGAGGTCTTGCTTTGGCCACTTCTTCCTCTGGACATTTGGTCCATCACCTGAACCTAAGCTGGGTAACGGTCCCAGCCCCCTTTTCCGGGTTGTTTGTGGAGGGATTCCCGGCCTCCTTTTGTTTGGTGCAATAAAAGTGGTTTTCTTGTAAAAAAAAAAATAAAAAAAATAAATCTGCAAACCGCGAGGGTATCATGCAATAGAGCATGGGCAGACAAACTCGGCCTTTTCACATTCAGCGTTGTGGAATTACGGCACTGGGGTGTGGTCCCATTAGCAGTGGTATAGGAGTGTGGCCGATCCAGTGTGACACTGAGTGGCAGCGGGCTGACAGGTTCATTACGAATTTCTGGGGTAAGAAAACAGGAGAAAGGCAAAAAAAAAAGAAAAGAAACAGAGACCTCCCACCTGAAATCACGGCAGAGTGCTTCCCAGTCATCAGATCACAAATGATCTGATGGTGGTGGTTGCAACAACAGTGCAGAATGTAACTGCCACATTTTCTGGAATAAACTCAACTTCCGTCAGCAGTGATCCTGACACCCTCCATATACTCGGTGATTGAAGGAGGGCACCACCCAATGAGATAATTGCACAGCAGCAAGCAAAATACTGAAAATCTTCTATCCAGTGGACCTATGGCCGACCCCGCTCTCTTTTGGGGTTGGCCATGCCCCCAGAGGATTGAAAAGATGTTGGCGGGAAGCTTCCTTTGCACGGGCATGCCCAGTGTTAAGGAGAGGAGGAGGGGAACCAAGATCTCCTTACTTTTTCGGGTAATACATGTAAAATACTGACCGTTGGATCACCAGTACTGCACGGTAGGATTTGGGTCACTCAACTGCCACACAAACTCTTTTCTACCCTATCCGGTTGCTAATGATCCTGACTCGAGGCGTTCCCCTCCCCTCGCACCCAAGTGTGACTTTTGTGATCATATAATTTTTTATATTATTATTTTTTTAATCATATAAACCATTAGTACCTTTGTCGGTTCGAAAATACTCGGCCTCCGAACTTTCAGGAGGCTGCAACGAAACGACGGCCGCCGATCAGATTGATCAACGTCGGGCTCGGCCTCCTGAAAGTTCGGGAGCTGGCTAGTACTTGTCGAAACCGGACGCCAAAGGTACTAGTGCTATAATCGTTATTCATACATAATTCAAAGAAAACTTGAGAGGACACACTTGGGGGCGAGGGGAGGGGAAGACTTGTTCAAAGAAAACTTGAGAGGACTCACTTATGTGCTCGGGCTTGCCTTCTGGACGCATGACTCGACTTACGGGCACATTCATTTGAGCAAATGTGTAGCGGACCTCTGGTTGGCCTGTGAGACCAGCCCCTTGGCCTGTTCTCACAGGCCTGTGTTCTATTCGGGGGCAGTCCAGTCCAGTCCAGTGCGGTACCTCTGTCGGTACCAACCAGTCCAGTCCAGTCCAGTCAGTCCGCTGGGGTATACCCCAGCAGTTGTCAGTTTCGTCATCATTCTTCACTTGCACATTTTGGAGTACGTGCGTTGGAGTCTTGCGTGGGGAGCTGCGTTGTGCCATCTCGCTCCCCCCCTTCTTCCTCCATCTCCATCTCTACCACAAGCGGAGCACCACACCTGGTGGGTCCGCTACATTGGTATCGGAGCGGGAACGGTCCCCACTCCCACCCACCACCCCGTACAGCTTGCCAGCACCCCGCACATCTGGAATACAGCAACCCCGACATCGTTTTTTTTTTCGGTGTTTTTCGGGCGATCTGCAGCGAAAACGAGGGAGAAAAAATGGCGGCCGCTGCAGGTGACACGTGGCGAAAAAGGGAGGCGCCATCACGAGCGCACGCCACGCGCCCACGCTGCCCTGCCCCGCCCCGCTCCCGAATTTATAATATCAAGATCCAGGAGTTTTGCTGCTGCTAAGGTTTGAACCCAAGTGCCTGCCAGGCCATGCGCATGCGTAAGCAGCCT